ATCAGACATCTACTTGCCTAGGACACATTTCATATAGAAGGCACTGCATTTAAAGCTTCTCTGAGACATATCTTTATTTTCTCTTCTTCTGCAGGCTGATCAGTCACCATTTGGATAAGCAGGGAAGGAAGTGGTGTCAATGGTTACTGAGCAGCTTGTTTCTCCTGCTGGTTATTTACCCAAAATTCCAGCCCTAAGACATGGTAGAAGCATTTTTTGACAGACAAAAATTATAAATCAAGGATTAAAGCACTCCTTTGTCTTCTCAGCTTCAGGTTCGCTAATGTCTGTTGTAGATTTAAAAACATTATATGTAAGCTTTCGTACCTGCTGTACCAGGAATAAGTTATCTTGCTAAAGAAGGAAGCATTTCCTTCCGGGCTGCATTTCTGTAGAAAAACAAACAGGAAAAAAATACCCCAAATTAAAAGCTGACACTTCTAAATAAATGAAATATTAAATAAACCAAAGTCCACAATCTTATCATATTTAAGTGAAAGGAAATGTATAGACTTGCATATTATTGAAATAGTACCATCAATATGGATGACATCACAAGAGCACAGATTTCCACATCCCCTATTTTCTCAGCTACATGTAAAAACTATGCGCAGAACTAAGAAGACACCATTGCAATCAAGCAAGTGAATCCAGTCAAGAGATCTTGGGATCACAGTAGATAGATCAGGGGTCCCCAACATTTCTTGATGCCTGCCAAGTATTATTATACAGTGTATGGAGTCAGTAGGACTTTCGTCCATCAGGGCTTGTGATTGGCTGTTCAGATTTTTAAAAACTGCTTCCTCAACAGCAGCTACCAGAACCCAACTATCTTCACTGTCTGACTGAAGGCAACCTGTGAATTGGCAAGAAATTATTTTGCAGTAATATGTTCATTTTAAAAGACATCCTGTTAATCAGAGCTTTTGCCCGAAATATTGAAGAGTAACTATTAAATACTGGGTTCAAGATGCATTGCAGTGAACAGCTCTACTTTATTAAGTGATTTCAGGAACAAGACTGAAACCTCAGGGCAATAGCCCTGTTTAAATAGCACGCAAAAAACACACCCAAACACACCCAACTCCCAATGATAGCCTATTTACATAACAGAAGTTACTCACTGGGCACTCCCAGAGTCCTGGTGGGCTATTGTTCTAGAGCTCTAAGCTCAGCCAGTCTGGTACCCAGTCCTGGAATATTCCAGCCCTAATACATAACAGTAACTATTAGAGTTCTGTATAACCTGACTCCTTGATATTTGGAGGTTGGTTCTGCCTCCAGGGGCAGTCATTCTGTGGTTGTGCAAATCATTCAAAGGTGCCTGGAGTTCAAGATAGATCAAAGATATCACCATGCAGCAAGCAACAAATTCTATGTTAGGAATTACAAGCAAAGGAATAGAAAATGAAGCTGCCAGGATTGTGATGCCCTTGAATTCACTGTTGTTGCAGCCATGTTTAGAAGACTATGTTCTGTTTTCTCAACCTCAAAAGGAGTTCGTAGAGCTAAAAGAGGTGACAAAAATGCGTCTAGAATGATCAAGGAATTTTATCATTTTCCATAAGGCTAAAAAATACATTTTTTTTTAGTTTGGAAAAAAAGACAGCAGAGGAAGAGGGGTCGTAAAAATTATTAACAATGCAGAGCCGGTGCATAGAGTGCATAATATTAGACTCTTTAGTCATCAAAAGAAATGGACTGGCATTTGATTTGAGAAAGAAGAAAGAAATTACTTTATACAAAATATTATGGAATATGCCTGGTGAAACCCAATGCCTTAAAAAAAAAGAGTTGGACAAATTAATGGACGAAGGCTGATACACAGGGCTGCTTTTATGTTCCCTTCCTACTAGAACCATACCATCTTCTGTTGCTCCCATATAAGGGCTTTCTGCCGAATGTTATCCATTTATTAATTTTTATGATCATTTGTACGTGCACAATAGTCATCAGAACTGTTCAGTCACTGCTACTGAAATGGATGACTGAAGCAAGCATGATCTAGTTTTTAGTATATTATTGGAATTCTTAAAAAGGCAAGTAAAAACACACCAGCTGTCTGGAGGCATACTGCTAAGAGACTGCACAATCCATTCTGTTCTACAACTAGTAGCTGCTGGGTTCTGGAAACCTGATAAGGTACTGATGGCCTAAATCCCCTGGTTCCTCAGGTGTCTCTTTTTTTCAGTACTGTTATTTACCTCTTTTTCGAAGACCTTCACTTTCCACTATAGCCTTTTTTGTTCCCTGCCCTCTTGTCATTTTCCTCCCACAGCATACATTTACACTTTGACAGCAGGACAAATTCAGTGTAAAGGATTAGAAAGTACATAGATTAAAGACAACACTCCTCTCATAGTGAGCAGGCTGCCATAAAAACCTAAGTATTCTCTTCTCTCTGCTACTTGCAGTATCCCATCTGCAGAGCATTTTCTAATGGGACTGCAAAATGGGATGCTCATTCCCATTCCAGTTGCCACAGCAGAGTGCCCTCCCTTACATTCTCTGAAACTTATGCCAAACAAAGTATTGCAAATACCTCAGGGCCATATCATACCAGGAATTTTATCATTCCCACAAAAATCTTGTATGAAGATGCCCACAATTGTGCAAGTCCCAAAGTTGTGCAACTACCAGGGAGATAAACTATGACTAAAAAGTAATTTATTCCCTCAAGCATTTTGTGCCTCATGTAAATGCCCTGAGCGCAGGACTCAGTTCTGAAAACTGTTTTTCAAAATAACTGAGCATTTTCACACGTAACATTAAAACAGTAGGAAGAGAAAGCACTTCCAACTCACACAAGGGGAAAGGTGCCCAATGTATGCCTCTTTCTGTTGCAATTATCCCCCCACCCACCCCATCAGGAGCAGCTTGGGGGAGGACACATGGAGTTGGATCAGTAGCTTTTGGGAGAAAGCTGAAAAGGTTCATTCCACATTTTGTCAGATCCAAGCCTATGTCTGTAATTTACAGAAGCTACAACAGAGTTTTCCAGACTTTTAGTACCTGAAGCATACTTTTCTGGATTCAAAACACTTCTTTAGGCAGAGAATGATGTAGTGATGGCCACAGGAATGGATTAAGTTATTAAAGGGGGATTAGATAGATTCACAGACAATAGCTCTATCAATGGCTACTAGCCATGGTGACTGAGCAGAACCTTCACCTTCAGAAGCATTCAACCTCTGAATCCCAGTGCCAGGACGCTGGATTAGATGGACCACTAGTCTGATCCAGTAGGGCTCTTCTTATGTTCTTAAATTCAAATTAAAGACATAAGTGTTCTAACAGAGTTTACTTTTAGAATGTGTAAAACACTTTCTAGCTTCAAAGCAGCACCTCTGCCACCATTATGTCATGAATGTCATGTTCTGGGCATGCCATCTCAGAGAATATATAATTCCACTGTGTTTCTGCATCAGAGTAAAGAATGATACAAAGCAAAATTACACCTCCAGTGAAGATTTATTACAAATCTATTTATTTGTTTAGGCTATTTCTATGCTACCTATTCAGAGTCCTACTCAAGGTGGCTTACAATTTAAAACATCACCATATAAAAACAAGCCTTTGAAAACCAAAGGGAATTTCTCAGAGACAAACCAGTAGCCTCTGCTGTAGGTAAATACATTGATATGACCTGAACCTTTCAGTATTTGTGACCCAATAGTAACTGTTGCAAGACAGAATTCAAGAATTAATGGGGCACAATATATATTCAGTTTAAAATATATCTCAATTTTTTCTTTCTTTTGTTGACATTCATAAAAGCATAATACTGATGCCATTTGTGACAATGGCAACAGAATGCCTGATCCCTGCAAAATGTATTCCCCACAGCTTAGACTAAGGAGCCAGTCTGGGATATGGACTTCAAGCTCTAAGACCCACCACCACCATTAAATAAGAAATTTTAACTTCAATAACAACTGTCTCTTTATGGTTAAGACGTTTGTTTTTGTGTGTGTGTGGGAAAGTAGTAGAACAAACAAACAGATTTTCTAAAGTGCACACTCACACGCAAACTAACTAGGAAGCTACTTGAAAACTTTGTCCAGACATGTCTACACTTGTTAGGCCAGAGGTCCAAACCAAGCAAGATCTGATAATTTTCTTGAGCTGCCCTTGAACTTTGCCCTTTGCCAGAGCAATATCTCCGGAAACAAAGCTCCACCTTGCATGAAACAAGTCGTGCTCACTGAATTAATAATATTGCTCACCTCGTTGAATCTCCTTTCTATAGGAAACAGGAAACAGCTTTAGCACATTTCACCCTGACTCAAACATGGTACATGAAACAAAGAAAGACAGAATGCCTCTGAACATGTACGGAGTGCAGTCATGTCTCTGACTGAGAGACGGCGGCTTCCCAGTCAGCGATCAATCTGTGATCGGGTGGAGCTGTTTCACAGGTAACACCAGGGCAGTTCACTGTTTAGAAAATACCATGCATCTTTTCCCTTGATCATGTCAGATTCTCCGCCCAACTTGCAGTGGGAGACAGCAGGTTTTCTGATCATTCCAAAAAATGCAAACCTGGAGCAAATCGCCGTGCAAATTACCTTTCGGTTGAAGGGCCGCAGGCTCTGATAAAGCGTTTCCTTGCTCCCCGGCAACGAACCCAACATATCTGTTTTACTTCTTGAAGAAAACCGGAACAGTGCCGCTGGCTCCGGCTCTTAAAGTGACCTACGAGCAGAGGCGGCATTAACAGACTGAGAGCCTCTGATTGAATATTGAGGCTAGCCAATCCAGAGCCCGTCTGCAGATCAGGGCGGGTCTGCTGGGTGCAATGTCAACAACACAGCCAGCATGGGCAGATGACGATGGAAAGGGCTATCGAGTGAATAGTATCTGAAATAGGAGCTCGTCAAAGCGGCCGTCAAGACACAGCCTATTATTTAACCGTATATTATTTTGATCGTTTTTTTTTTTTAAATCACGTGCATTTGAGGTGAGTCGGGCTGACACTTAAAGAACCTGGGGTCTAGGTCAGACTAAAATCTGCTTTTGCCTCGCTAATCCTACAATTAAAGCATTCTTCCCTTGAATTGTTGTGATGTGTTTTGAATTGCACTCAGTAATTATCATCCCTTCTTTTTGGGAGAGCAATTTAATACACACACACACACACACAACACACACACACTCATCCCAGGAAGATTGTTTCCCAATGGTGGCACATGTTGGAACCCGTAGTTGAAGAAGCTACACAGTAGGTTTCTACATCCTTCCCTCCAGGATACCAGCATTACACATGCTGAGCTTGCTATCTGTTCTGGTAAAATAACAACATAGGAAAACAGCCTGCCTGGATCAGAGGGGGTTCATATCAGAAGCCCTTTGCTAGCACCACACAGCCAATTTAAGTGACTAGACATTTATGGATTGCTGAGGACACAGGAGGCAAAAATGTTAAAGAATCTTGTGCCAAAATGACATTTATGATAAGACAAGTGGAGACCCGGAAGGTTATCTCATTCGTCACACCTTTGCTTCCTCTCCTCACCCCCTACCTCTCTCACACTATTTCTCCCCTCTGCCCCCCTTTTCTTACTCTCTATTTCTCCTCCATGCATGTGACTTCCTCTCTCTTTCTGACCTGTCATCTTTCTCTTTGTTTTTCTGCCTCCCCACTTCATCACTCTTTCTCTCTCTTTCTGCCCCCACCCCATCATTCTTTCTTTCTGCCCCCATCACTCTCCCAGCCTCCTGCCTGCTTCCTCCCCCACTCCGCAGAGCAGCAGCAGCAGTGGTAGCAGTGCTCCTAGCCACCCACCTACTTCCTCTCCCCCCACAGCAGCAGTGGAAGCAGTCTGGGAATCACAACTGATCTCCCAGCTACAGAGATCAATTCACCTTAGGGCTGCCAGCTCCAGGTTGGGGAATTCCTGGAGATTTGGGATGGAGTCTTGGAACAGTGAGGCTTGGGGTGGCAAGCAGCCTCTGGCAGGGTATGATGCCATAGACTAAACCCTCCAAAACAGCCATTTTATTCAGGGGAACTGATCTCTGTCGCCTGGACAACAGGTGTAATTCTGGGTGATCTCCAGTCCTCACCTGGAGGCTGGCAATGGTGGTTCTTGTGGAGGAAATGGCTGGAGGGTGGAGTCTATGACATTACACCAGTCCAAAGTTCCTCCCCTCCTCAATCCCACCCTCTCCAGGCTCCACCCCTCAAATGTCTAGGAATTTCCCAACATGGAGTTGGCAACCCTATTTCCTTCCTACCCAACAGCCAACCTACCTTTATCTCTCTCTCTGTCTTCTGCTTTCCATCTCAACCCCCCAGCCTCTACCTAGGAAAATTACAGTCTTTCTCCACAGTGGGGACCAAAGCAGGTTTCATTATTCCCTCCTCCTTTTTATCTGCACAACAACCCTGTGAGGTTGGTTAGGCTGAAATATGTGACTGGTCCAAAATCACGCAGTCAGCTTCCACTGCAAGATGGGGATCTGAACCTGGGTCTTGCAGAACCTACTTTGAAGCGCTAACTGCTGCACCTCACTGGCTTTCATAGGGAGGCTGCTGATGAACGGTAGCAGGCAGCCGAGGCTAGGTGAGTCATGCAAATGAGGGGGGACCTGGCAACCCTAGACTACTGCCAGGCCTAGAGTTGTCAACCTCCAAATGGGACCTGGAGACACCCCAGAATTAATCTCTAATAATCATGTGAGGCCCATCCGTATGAAGGCCAGGCACCCCCCCATTCGCTCTAAATCCCAAAATCAAGGCGGAGCTAGACCGCCTTTTGGAACAGGGGGTTCTGGAACCCGTGACACACGCCAGGTGGGAAACTCCCATAGTCACACCATTGAAGCCAAATGGGGATGTTAGAATTTGCACAGATTATAAATGTACCATGAATATTTTTATTTGGCATCCAAGGTATCCCCAACTCCCTG